GATTGAGTCCTAGAACGTGAAGATCTGATCTTCAGAAATAAAGTAATTCAGGATGGTCCGTTTTATATTTTGCACACTGCACTTTATATCTTAAAGGATATAAAAAAAGCATTTATCACTTAAATCTCAACTATTTGATAATTTCCTAACGTTTCTTAAATTGAATATTCACCTTCGAGAAGTGCATTGAGTTTGAAGGTTAAAAGCAACAAATTCGTAAAAAGTGCTTTAGAATAACAAACTGTATCATGTAAACGTGAATTTTTAATAACTTCTCATATTTATCTAAGCAATTTTTTTTTAATTCTAAGCCATTTTGAACATTGATGCAAAATATGCTCTTCGCGGTGAAGCATGTCTTTTGAAAGTAGAGAAATCAGTGGTTTCGAAAGTAGTTTGTAGTCGCTACATTTAAATAAATTAGTTGCAGTTAACTGCAAAGAAAATGCAGTTTTTTTTCCGCAAAAATAGGAATTGATATGCATTGTTCTTAACATTGTTTTGTTGAGATGCATTGTTTGAGATACATTGTAGGATTTACGATATGTGATTCGTAAATCCAGTTGATACGTATCGCATTGTTAGTCATAAATCTAGTCAATACCAATTACTTTGTATAACTTATAAATTAAGACAATAAGATTTGAGAAAAATGATTCGTAAAACTGGCTAACACTCATACAATTCACGAAACGAGTAGGCCGTGATAACCTGATGGGTCGGGTGTTGGGCTCATGCACAAGAGGTCGTGGGTTCGAACCCTGCTGGCCGGAGACTCCCTGTGTAGTAACTATTGACTGGTGCAAGTTAAATCTGTCGTGTCACAAAGCCATCCATGTTCTCATAGCAAATCATACTTTTAGGGGTACTGAATTGGAGATTAATCGTTCCCTGGTTCGGATCAAAATTGCGATCTGTGACAGAATGGATGTATGAATGGGTTCACCCCATAAACGGGTTGTGAGGCGTGTGTTGCTGAAGTCGGATTCTTGGCCATAGACGGCGCCACTGAAAAACAAGAAACGCACCCTTTGCCTTAAATTCGCTTGCTTTCACCGAGCAGGCTTGCTGATTTTGGCAAGTAACATTAGAAACAACAACTAAGAGAGCTTTCGCGAATCGCGACGAGTGCTGCTTAGTTCGAGTAGAAAAAAGCATTATGTATTTAATTTTTTTTCCTTCTTTTGCGAATTTTAACTGTAAAATCCATGGAATTTCGTACATTGGCAGAACAGAGCATAGGGTATCATTATTCAGCAGCGCTTCATGCACTATTTGTCGTATTCTGCAAATTAGAAATGATAACTGATCGTGCCACTTACACTTTAAATGGAGATTTAGTACCGTAGATAAGAAAAACTGGACCCTCATAAAGGCCATCAGAGCTGACAGGTGACCATTTTCCACTTTCCATAGAGTTCACTATGACATTTAGATTTGTCTTCCACTCGAAATCTCCGCTTGGAGTCATCCTCAGTGGGAGATCTCTTCCCTCCCATATTTTCGGCGCAATGGTGTTTACTTGCAGTTTTCTCTAAAATAAACAAATAAGTTATTTTTGTTCATTAATTACATTTCTCGATTAGAGCGTCAGCAAGTTATAGAACGGAAGAATGACGATTTAGAACGATTTTTTTAATGTTGTATTGAAAAAAAAAAACGCATATTTTTTCTTTTAGTCACTTGTTTTCCGATGCTTGCCCACTAATGACATAAGCTCATTTCGTTCAAAAAACATATACATTTCGGAGGAAAAAGAAATATTTGAAAATATTATAGAGGAAAACACAAAAACTTTTTCGGTACGAACAATCACTTGGTGCCCGGCATCATTATTTCGTAGCAGTTTAATCCAAATTCCTTGCTGTATAGTGAATGTTTTTTTTTTGTAGTTTAATTTTTGGACGTGTGAGACACATTCTAATTTTGTTAGGAAGAGATATTTGTCACAGAGAAATAAACAAATTCATTTGAGAAAAATTCATTTATTATTTAGAGAATATGGCCTTACTTAGAAATATTGAAATAAAGAAAGGAATTCTTTCAAAGGGATCAAGAGAATCCCTTTTTTAACATCACGAATTTCTGTAAAACTGAAACTTAGACGGTTGTGGCTGAGAGACCGAATTTCCCCATCAGTCTCCATGCAAAGAATTCAAAATTAAAAGTTGGTTCCCATTGGACAGCATGGGGAGAGATAGTTGGCTATTTAACGAAAGAAAGCATAGCCGAAAATAAAGCCAACCTCCGTAATCAATATTAAATTTGAAAATAATTTGGCCAAATCTAATCGCCAAAAAAAAGAGTGAGAGAATTAGTAAAACCCTGTAACTGAAACATTTTTGTGGTGAGAAATAAAGAATAAAGAGTTATAAATAGATTTAGTTGGTCGATTTAAGTCGCGACAGTGAATGCATGAGTTTTACATTTGTATTGAAAAAAAATGTCAGCCGTTACATTCTTAAAGAAAAGAATAAAATATTTAAATTAACTTTTTATAAAACGTGTTAAAAATTAAATAATTGGCTTGATTTAAATAAAATTCGATTAAGAATGATCAAAAAATATAAATTTAAAAATTGAAAGAAATTTTTAAAGCTAGAAAATATTGAATGCCTATTTTGGCATCACGCGAACCATTGGCATTGATCTTTTATAGAAGACGACACTGAGCTACTTTGCCTCGTTTTACGGTTCACCTTATCAAGACAAAAAAAATTGCATGGGATTCAATTAACACCAAGACTTGGGCCGTTTTGGAATGACGAATTCCCTCACGGACTTGTAATCTCTCAATCATACAAAACTGCTTACGATCGAAAACGAAGGAAACTTTCTTATTCACTGCAAGGATTGTGTGGGATGCAAAGATTCCTAACTAAACCAGGTTGAGGAAGTAAACTCTTTTCCGTGACAGTTAAAGCACCTGGGTGTAAACCCAAAGGTAACGTGTTGCATCCCAGCCGGCAGCTAATTAATTTTTAAATGTATCCTACCTTTGCAGCAGCTTCTCCTCCCGATAGATAGGAAGCAGCAAATTTCTTGGCTTCTGCCAGTTCTGCATGAGGAGGGATTTTCATCAACACATCTCTTTTTTGTTTCATGTAGTAACTGATCCCTGTTCTACTGCTCGATGGACTGCGTGCCGATATATCCTCAATAATCAGCGACTCCAGTCTTTCAGGCTAAAGAAAAAAAATTTTCTTGTAAAACCAATAAAAATATTTGCAAGAGAGTAAATTTGTTTAATTGGGCGCATTATTGTTTTGTTGCAACGCGAGAACTTCTTTTCCCAAACATATTTATTTCTTTAAAAAAACTATGTAGAGTTCTCTATGTCAAAAAGTAAATATTCTATGACCATTAAAAGATGTTATGTTAAGAATATGAGAAAACTAACTACTTCATTTAATCTGCGTCCTCGAATTGATTCAATTCTTAAGTTGTAACCAATTTAATTTTTTTAATGTATCCGTCTTTCTAATTTATATGAAGTTTCAATTCTAAAACTAAATCCCATCGAATAAAGCTTTTTTTTTAATAGTGCAGTTAAGAAGCTGAAGTAGGATAAATGTCTTTTAGCTTAAAAGGTTTTGTTTTAATCTCGTTATTAAAGATAACAAGTAAAAACTTACATATTTGAATGCAAAAGCCATTCCCGTCTTTCCGCCCATACTGTGTCCAACAATGGTGATTCTAGGAATGGATCGCGAATTCATGAAATTGACAACATCCTCGGCCATACTATCGTAACCTATTGTCTCCGTCCATTCACTGTCTCCATGGTTCCTGGCATCCAGACAGAAGACCTTGAAAGGTACATACTACTTATAAGTTCAGATTTGTTTTCAAATAGTTAGTTCAAATTTATTTTTAGTTTATACAATTTTGAAAAAAATTATTCAGTTATTATAGATTAAGACTCTAAAGTCAAAATTTAGTATTTCTTATTACAATTGACGCTTTAAATATATTGATTTCTATTCATGAAATAATTTTAAAGGTTATTCGATATTATATACATTGATTTAGTAATATTTCAATTTATACACTGCTGGACAATTGCTAAGGACGGATAACACTATCATCTATAGCAGCCACAAAATGAAAGGAAGCAAAATGTGGAAAATTAGAATAAGTGCGGGATATAGTAAGAAGAGGTATGCGTATGCAAATTTTTTTTCCACGTCTGTTCATCACGTGATTGCGCTGATAAGAGCTTTAAAGGTTTTGACGCGTGTGGAGAGTTGTTGTTTCAAGTCAAAGTTTTACAGGAAAGGTTTAGTTGACGAACTTGAAATTTTCGGCATGTCTTCACGATATCACTTAGGTGATTTTAAGCTTGGCCGAATTATTGGAAAGATCGAAGAAGGGCGAAAAATAGCAGATGTTGCCAGGGAGTTCGACATCGCTCACAGCGTTGTTTCACGGCTGTGGAAATCATGTAAAACTACTGGAATGTGTAGTAGGCGGCACGGAGGAGGTCGTGTTAGAAGTACGACGCCTGCAGAAGACAGAGACATCGTCCTATCAGCAAAAAGGCGCACCACAGCTCAGCAGGTGGCAAATCAGTTTCTTGCTGCCACAGGAAAGCAGATCTCCCGAAAAACTGTTGCAGGGGAGGAGGACTATACCCCCGCAGCGCCTCATTGACCAGACAGCACCGTACTGCCCGTTTGCAATGGTGTCGTGAGCATCACAATTGGACTGGGCATGCGTACTATTCTCAGATGAGAGTAGGTTCAGTCTGTCATCGGATTGTAGACGCCAACTGATCTGGCATGAGAGTGGTACTGATTATCGTCCAGAAAATATCCAGGAAAGGGACCGATATCCGACATGCAGTGTCATGGTGTGGTCGGCATCATGATCAATGGCCGCACGCGCCTACATGTGGTTGCGAATGGGACTCTGACTGGCCAACGATACATTGATGAAGTTCTACTTCCTCATGTTCGTCTTTTCCGTGGTGCTGTCGGAGATAAATTTGTTTTTATGGACGACAACGCAACATGTTATCGAAAAACCCGCTGTTCAGGAATGTCTAGACAGCGAGGGTATTCAACGCCTCGTATGGCCATCACGTTCTGCAGATCTAAACGCCATTGAAAATGTTTGGGATGCTTTGGGGAGGCAACTTGCTGGTCGAAACTATCCTCCGACAAACAAGAACACCATCATCCGTGCACTGACAGAGGAATGGGATAAATTGCCTCAACAGCTGCTGGATAATGTTGTGCAAAGTATGATACGACGTGTAGAATGTTGCATCACACTCCACGGTGTTGCATCACACTCCACATATCCGTGGAAGACACCTTTCTTCAAGTTGCCTGCTGACATTTAGATGCATTGTTCCATTTTTCCGTACGCAGCATCAAATGAACATTTTTTTTCTTTCAGATGTTTCATAGCTTTTGCACTTTCCAGAACAATGAATATTCTTTATTCTAATGTCTGAACAGTGGAGGTAACCATATTTTATCCTACTAGGCCTCTTGTCTCGCTTAATGTTATGCTACATTGCAATTTGTGATCCGTCCTTAGCAATTGTCCAGCAGTGTATATAATTTCCTTTAATTTCATGACAAACATTACAAAATAATTAAAAACTATTTTTGAAAGTTATTATACATTATCTTGTAAAATTTAAAAGTATCGATGACGATGGAATCTGTAATCTTGCATTGGAATTTACGACTTATTATGGAATAGCTAAGGCGCTCATTCTCTATACTCATTACAGAAACGTGGCATATGACAATTCGTTTTCTTTATTCATTTTCTGACAAACGTTAGCTGTGTCTCCATTTTATAGCGAAGTAGAATTTATTGTCGATCGGAGTTTAAACTTTTAGCGACAAATTAGAGGGCTCAAATTTGAACTTAAGTTGCCAATACAAGTTAGTTTCCTGAATGGAGTAAGGCACTTTTATTATTAATAGAAATTTTGACTGCTTTCCACAATAAGACTCAAATTTATCTGAAATCAATGAAATAATGAAATGAAATAAATTTAAAAACAACATTTTCCCTTCCACCGTAGATGGGAAAATAATTTTATTTTTGGCCGACTTGAAACGTTAAACATAAAACGAAATACTTTTGCAATAAATCATCGTCAACATTGTAATAATCACCATCGATATTATCACGTACCAAATATCTTTCTAAAGCGATGCGTCCTACGTCTGAGTTTTAAGTCAAACAAAAATAAAACTATTTTCTTTTTTGATGACGCATGATGCAATTTCTACTAATTTGGAAAGTTTGAAGCACAAATCAAGCAAAAAGCGAAGAAATTATAAAGATATGAAAGTCAGCAAAACAGCACTTCATCAGGGGACACACTGTGCCAACACACAGAAGCCTTTCTTACGTCATACCAAAAACTGACTGTGCCCCGAGACCCCATATCCAAATAGATAAACTAAATAAGAAAAAGCAATCAAAAATTCAAAAATTGAAATCTGAATGTAATGAAAAATCATCACTGAGTAAGAACTAATAATGAAACTCCCGCATATAAGAAAAATATATAAAGTTGCAGTTAGATTAACTAATTCGTTAATCTAACTGTAACTTTATTTGTATTGACGAAAGAAAGGCTCTCCTGCATGTTGGCAGACAGTGTGTCCCCTGATGAAGTGCTGTTTTGCTGACATACATATCTTTATAATTTCTTCGCTTCTTGCTTGATTTGTGTTTCTAACTTTCTAAATTATTAAAATAAGACAAATTTGGTTTTATATGCTTTTTTTTCCACTTTGTTTTATTGTTTTAAATATTTCCTAATTTTTTCTTTTTGTTAATTTGTATAAATCAGTTTCATTCCTTAATTACAATTTTTACTCATTGGTAGATTAATCAATATTAAAATAATTTATTTTCATCCACATCACATTGAACTCATTGCCTTGAAATAAAAGGTTAAGATTTGCTACATTTTTCCTAACAAAACCATAAACCAGTTATTACCTGTGAGGCCGTCCTGTTGGCGATTTCCTGCGCGCAATCATCCCATGTTTCTTTTGCATTCGTTACACCATGGAGTAGAACGATGGGGACATTTTCTGGCTTTTGAGCTGCATATTCTTTGTGAGCGATAAACATATAAGATCTCTCAAAAATTAAAAAAAGGTATATATTAAATGCAATATCAAATTATTATGTATCTATTATTTGTTTAATATTTGGTTAGGTATGTTTAGTGTATACGAGTTCTATTTATTCTTAGATGAAATTAAAAAATCACGTTCATAGAAAGTCTTTGACGCAACTTGGAAATTCTTTTTTTATTCAAGTTCCACTTTTTTTTAATAGCTTACAGATACCTTTTTAATACAAGTGCTTTACTAGCCTACACGACGCACCTTTTTTATGCAGGTACTTATAAACTTAAGTGTACCTTTTTTAAAGATACCTTTTTTTATGATTTTCATAGTCCATTATATAGTCTGTTCACAAAAAAGTATGACCTCATATTGACACAGAAAAAAAGAGATATGTTACAGTGAATGACCGAAATCAAAAGAATGTCGCCTTTCATCGGTGAATGTCAACAATCGCATAGTCACTTCGGTGAATGTCCGAAATATTTATTATATCCAATTTGATATTAATTTATTCGCTGATATCATTATATTTATTGGATATTTTAATATTTTCTGAGGATAGATTCGAAGAAACACCAGTGCTCGGAGAACTGGGCAAGTACATACTGGGCAGTGGCAATTATCCTTAAAAAACATTGATGTAGGGCATACCGGGCAAATGTATAACTAACTTAGCTAGATCTAGTATATATTTCAGACATTTACCAAAGCGACTATGTGATTGTCAACAACAAACTGTCTGTCACATTTAAGGAGAGATGAAGTTTTAACTCCTTGCCTTCTTCCTACAAATAATAATAATTTACGAATGTTTTAATTGGATGTTATAGATTTTTTGTTTATTTCTTTATTGAAAGCATAATTATTAACGAGTTTTAAATTTAAGAAACAATTTAAAAATATATAAATTTGGGAGCCAGTTCAGACTTTTCAGGAGCCATGGCGACCAGAATTTCGAGAGTTTTGTACATCAACACATCCTTAGACTTTAAATGAACTTATGAATAATAATTAAAACACACTAACTAAATTTTTCTTCTAATAAGTTAAGTATAAACATAAATGTTATTTTTGTCATCGAGTTACAGCTATTTTTGATGACGTCATAGCTGGAAAATGCATCAAGTGGGGGTGACCACCCTAAGTCTAAAATACTTTATAATACGCCCAATTAATATTTATTTTAATTGAAAAAATTTTATCGCTTTCAAAAGCAATGTTTTTTTACAATGTTTTTTTATTTATAACTAATTTCAGAAGGTTGGGAAAAAAAAGAAATGAAATCACTGCACTTACTTGTTCATTGTTGAGTCATTGAGAGACGAAGATAGACTGTTACAGTTTTGTGTGAAATACTCTGAATGAAAACGGGTATCAGCATTACATCTCTTTACATTCCTTTTCTTCGCTTGATTCACGTGATTCATAAGATAACCAGTTGGATTGCTTTGTCACGCAATCAAATAACGGATCTAAATATATAATCGTCACTTATTGTTTATTAGTTAAGTGATTCAACACATCACGTTTTCTTGCATCAAGTGACGGAAAGAATTTGAAGCAAATGTAATCATGTATTAAAGTTTAATTTTATGGAAGATAGAATCTTCGGTTACTGTCCATTTAACAATATTTTATAACTGATAAATAGCCCATTATTATATTAGAGAGCAAATTTTCCTGATCGCTCAGTTCTCTCGTTAGAAACATAATTATTCTAAATTCAAAGCTTAATAAAATCATTTCATTTTTCTAAATTCAAAGCTTAGTAAAATCATCTAATTTTTTCCTTTAAATGCTTAGTAAAATCATTTATTTTTTCTGATTTCAAAGCTTAGTAAAATCATCTCATTTTTCTGATTTCAAAGCTTAGTAAAATCATCTCATTTTTCTGCTTTCAAAGCTAAGTAAAATCATCTCATTTTTCTGATTTCAAAGCTTAGTAAAAACATCTCATTTTTCTTACCTAAGTTCTTAAAATTAGCCGTAGTTATCTTGCAATAAGTTCGTAGCTTGCTCCTGTTTACGAAATTTACTTTTTGATTGTAACAAAACGTATTTTTAATTCTTTTTTAAACTCTGAAATCATTTTTATTGCAAGACAGCCAAAACTAAATTATTCTGAACTTTAAAATGTTCATGTTTTTTTTTATAAAGAGAAACAAAGTTTTTGTAAAAGAACTCCAAATAAGAAAGTGAACTCTCTGAATAACTTATTTTCTAATGATTGGGATATCCCACAAAAAGATTCAATCTTAATGTGATTGAAAGGCTTTACGTTAAATATGCTAATTTATTTGTACAGACTACATTTTCAGTTACAAAATCAGATGCAAAAACTTTCGCTTTCTAAATAAACATACGTTTTTTTGTATGGATTTCTATACATGACTCTCAAAATATAGGGGTAGCTGTCATCTTTAAAATAGTGTACAGTTCGCAAAAAGAAAAAAGATATCACCCTGAATGACTTTCGTTCAAATAATCGGATTTTCACGAACTAAGTGTCAATCTTAATGGTTCCTGGGGGTGACCTCAAATATGTTAATTATTTAGTGCTAACTATTAATTAAGTTACGAAATCAGACTCAAAAAAGCACTTTCTCTGAATAAACATATATATTTTTTTTTTTACATATTTGGAATTCTGACCATTGAAATATTGGAGGTAGACAAAATTGTGAATAAATTGGGCCATAAATTGGGTCGCAATAAAGGTTTATACGTTTGGCGATAATCCAGAAAACAGTCAACGAAAGTCGCCGCCGCAAATGAATATTTTAAGATAACCCATAGACTAATTCAAAAGAGGAATGCTAAGCAATTAAGCTCTGGTTGCTTGGCAGCCAAGTTCTGACTGTAAAAAAATTGAAATAATGTTCTGTGATTACTCGGAAAGGTTTAATTAATGGTTAATGCGATATCTCGAGGTTTCTATGCAATAGACAATTTTTAACAATATTCTGTCCCAAAAGCAGCGATTTTTTTTTCTTTTAATCTCCTTTGAAAAGAAAATTTGAATTGATTTATAAATTATTTATAATTTTTTAAGCTTTTAGAATTTAAATGCATGAACTTTTTATCTGACATTATTTAGGTTTCTTTTACTGTATTTATGCGAGGATTTCATACTAAAATAAAACTAACATAACTTATTATAGCTATATACAAAATTTAAGGGATAATCATTTTTACAGCTTTAATTTTAGCAAGAAGTCATGTCTTCTAGGCAAGAAAGTTTGAAGAAACAAAAAATGTGCTTGAAAAATAAGATGTATATTGTATAGTAATTCTATTGCACATTCACAAGGGTTTCGATAATTAACGATATTTCTTTTTTCTATAACTCAAGGCATTGCCGAATGTTAAGCATCATTTTAAAAACATTGAAATATGTTATGTTTAAGAATAAGATATTGAAATAATATGTTGCATATTGTACGATTCATTGTTTAAAAAATCGCTTCATTCTGCTAGATACTTAGGTTACATGGTTTTCTTTAAATAAAGATGATTTGCCAATAGCATCCTCATGTTTCGATACATTCCGAAACTTACGTTTGAAAATTCGCCATAAAATATAGCACAGCATGTTCTTCAATTTCAATAAGCTACATTTACCACCAAATACTGCTACTATGGTTATTTTTGTTTTCTTATATATATATTCTCTTTTTAAACAGAGCTTGTAAGGTTTTTAAGATACTGAAATGGAGGCACAAAAACTTAAAAGATAAAATATTCAATTTCATTAACTCAAAATATCTGGTCTCAAAATTTTAATTTGAAAGTTAAAGTTAACTTTTGCAATATTGGTGCCCTTACGCTCTTAAAGGCCACATGAATCCTGTTAAAATATTAAAATGCATATGTTTACTTTAAAGAGTGTAAAATCCTCATCGAAATAATGATCAAGACTAAAATGTAAAACAGTATAATTGATGATAAAAACTCAACTGACTTCAAAAAATATGCAGAGGGAAGTTACAGTCGACATGTTTCGAGAGTTCAAGTATAAGCACCCATTCTCAAGACTTGTCAAGCTTGAATGACTCGTGACTTTAATTATTGGACGCTCAAAACATGTCCATTTTTATTATCATCTATTATTTTTTAAATCAATGAAGTTTTTATATTTTCGATTCAGTTTCTTGGGATTATCCATTTAGTAACACAACATATTAAATTATTTCACTCGATATTATAATAAGTTTTACGTAAGATATAGCACAAGTTCTCAGATTGAAAGAATTATAATTCACTTTCTAAAAAAATCAATGGAGTGAAATTTTTTTCTTCTTTTTTGCTGCAAGCCTTAAAATTTTTTAATGACATAAAAAAATTCCATTTACAATTGAAATTTCAAAAATCGAATGAGAAAATGGAATGTCCCCTAGCACCAAGAATCGAAACTAAATAGTTACAAGAACAAATATTTCAAACAAGTTAGCGTTTCCATTCTACTCAATGTCGTTTGAAAAGATATTTTTTATCTATCGATTCCAAAATTTATTCCACATATATTTTAGGGTATACTTTAGAGAGTATTTCGATCGAGCTTATTTTTACGCCCTCAGTTGCTTAAAATTATTAAATAATTTGCTTAAATAAATTATTCAAGCTATATGATTTAATGCATTTATAGTATTGTAGTAAATGGGGCTTCCATCGCATATCCTTAACCTTAATATCGCTATCATTAAATAAATCGATTGAGCTTAGATAAATAATAAAAGTAAATTTTTTTCTCGCTTTGATTTTCAATGAATAATATGTTTTGATCAAACAGATTTTATTATGGAATTAACGAAATTTTTGAATTGGTTCCTTGGAGCAATATCATTCTTATCCTTTCATGACGAAATGTAGGAAAAATTGGTTTTCACAGTTTCTGTAAAACGTATGTTAACCTTCTTGCCACTTTTTTTAAATTTTTATTTTTCTATTTTTAATCAAAATAAGTACGGAAATCGCGTATTTTTTATTGCATTTTTTTTTTTAAATCAGATGATTCTAAAATTGGCACAGCTTCGGAATCTTTTTACAAATTTCAATTTTTAGTATTTGATGCTTAACAATATAAGGCATTTTCCTGATAACAAATTATACTACAATAATATCTTGGGAATCAAGCTAAAGTTAAAATTTAAACAAAATAGTTTAGTATATTATCCAGAAAAAATTCTACATGGTATCATATAGAAAGAATAAAGATATAATGAAATAATTAGTTGGATTTTTCTGTAAATTACACGAGGTCTGATAATAAAAAATTTAATTTCACAACTTATAAGATGTTAGGACGGCATTTAAGATACTGAGATATTTTAAGACGCTTAAGAGTTTTGGCTATGTATTTGACAGCTTTTTGTGTTCAGTATTTTTATGCTCTTTGTAGTGACTTATAAAACATCAACACTATTTTAGATAATCTATGTTGAAGTCACAAGAAACAAAAAAAAAGACAATCAATAGTTTATATTTATTTTTTGAAAAAAATAGTATGCTTAGTAAGTAGTCAGCTGTTTTGCATCAAATAATTTTTAACAGCGGAATACTCTCAATTTCTTAACAGGGTTTTATTCTTAGCTAGAAGACAATAATTCTAAGTTTTCTTTAAAAAAAAACTTGACAATAATTTAAAAAGGAACTTTACTTTAAAGAAAACCTAAATTAAAGTACTAAGAAAAGTGATTAGTATATTAATGAAGAAATAATATACGTAGTAGCGTAAAGAATAAGATTTTCAAAAATGTTAAAATAAATTCAATAGTTGTTAAAATAGTTCTGAGAAACACTCCCGTATAGCTGATTAAAAAATTCCTTTTAAGATTAAGACGATATATAAGATGTTGAGAAATTTTAAGATGCTTATAAATTTTGATTAAACATTTTTATTAATAATTATTGTCAGGGTCACGTGATGTAATAACACGCATTTTCTGATGTTGCGAGCTAAAAGCTTGATATTATAGATATGATCATTTTTTTGTTTTGGTTTTTTGGACGATGGATGAAAAAGAATAATAAAATGGTGAATTAGTTTTTGTAGAATTTTGCGTTATTTCTTTTGTAAAAGGTTACGACTGACAAATGTGCGGGGAAACCCCAATGGATTTCGAAATAAAAGATTGGTAGTTGTTTGTTCTATGAATTTCAAGTTGTTTGATGGAAGATAGTGAGTTATTTAGATTGTCTTGAAATTGGTTTAGGAAGTGGCATTTTTTTTTGTAAGAAGGTGCAGTTTAGAAAGTAGTAGGTGAAAAATGGCATTTTTAGGAAGAGCTTTAANACTAAAAACGCAAAAAGTGAAATTATTATTAAGGGTTCCAAACTTTGAATCGCTCTCCTGGCCAAACTATGGGGATCACATTTCGGTTACCAGATTTCGGTTACCCCCTATATTTTGAAGATAAAGAATCCAAATATGTAAAAAAATGCATGTTT